CATAAGGCCACACCCCCTGCCATCACCGGAAGTGTGTCATAAGGCCACACCCACCACTCAGTTAGTCTTAGTCTTAAAGGTTAGTCTTAAAGGTGCTATTTGTTAGTGTTAAAGGTGCGGGAGTGCGAGGAAGCCCCGCGAAGGCCCCCCGCCCCTAATGGTCCTGGCCGCCACCGCCGGCCTTGCGGCTCCACTGCCGAGCCCCATCAGGGGCCCGGCAGTGGACCTGCAAGGCCGGCAGGAGTGCGAGGAAGCCCCGCCAAGGCCCTCCCTGGCCCCAGGCAGGCAGGGGTGGGGAGAGGTGGGGAAGAAGCAACTTACCCTCCCTCTTCTCCTGCCTCCTCCTGGCTGAATGAGGACCGGAAGCGGGGCGGCCGGAAGCGGGGGCGGGGCTTCGTCGTGTGCCCCGCCCCCACACCTCACCCGGGGGAACGGCGATCCCCCACGATCCCCCCGAATCGACCTCTGTTTCAGGCACAAGTTCTGTTTAACAGGATGCCTTTTAATAGTAACATATTACTTTAAAATATTTTCTTCAATACACACAGTTTACCTTCAGTAACACTGTAATGATCGTTGTGTACTTTAAAAAAAATCTGCACAGCCAGTCAGAAGCCCTTCTAGGCAGAAGAACCTTTCTAAAAACTCTTTGCAGGAGCCAGAAAGGTGTTGGCAGCACGACGGTGCCCGTGGGCACCACGTTGGAGACCCCTGGCCTAAGGGCTGTGGCCCTAATTTTTTATATAACTGAGCTTTCTGAAAGAAAATGAGATATTAAGTGTAATAAATAATGGGCATCATTATTTCTCTGGGCAGAGAGGGCTCTTGTTCCTCTCTGATGTATATTCCTGTCACATAGTCTCGCTTTGCCTTAATTTCACAAGCTGTATTGGGAGAGTACAGGATACGAATGATTTCAAGAACTAATGTAAAAATGTTCAAGGATCCCAAGGATCCCCGCGGGGAGGGCTTGGTGGACGAGATCTCATCATGATGCAGTGATAGCCAGCATTATAAATCCCTTGCTCTAAAATAAAATCAGACTCCAACACGGCGAGAAGTCCAATTTCAGAAACTGATTGCACTGTCACATCACCTGAGCCTGCATCATGTGCATAATTCTATTTTAACATCCTGCTAATTGTGGGGAGGGGCTTGGTGATCATGCGGAACACAGCAGCCCCGCCCCTAGAGGCCAACATGCGCCCTGATTGGTTCCCCTCACAGACAGCAAGGTCGCCAGCAAGCACTTCTTCCCTCCCCAAGCCAAGGTGAGATATTTTGTCAGTGTTTAACAAGAGCGGAGGTGGTTTGGGTCTTAAACACACTGTGCAACCCCCCAATTTAGTACTGCAAAACCCCTCGACAGACAGCAATGACTACCTAATACGGCCTGCATCTAGGGATGCCAGCCTCCAGGTGAGACCTGGAGATTCCCTGGAATTACAGCTCATCTCCAGACTACAGAGATCAGTTCCCCTGGAGGGTGGACTCTATGGCACTGTACCCCACTAAGGTCCCTGTCCTCCACAGGCTTCATTCCCAAATCTCCAGGAGTTTTCCTAGCTTGGATCTGGCAACCTTACCCTCCATCCCCTGCCAGTGGCCAGGGAGGACTTGCAACTCTGCCTGCATCCCACGTGCATGGAGACCCCCTGGCGACTGTAAAGTCAAAGGGTGACATTTGCAGGTAACACCCCAGAGGGAGGGTTCATTTTTTCCATGCATCAACTTTCATGCAGTAGTATTTCCATAGAGTCCATTCCAGCATTCACAGGGCAGTCCTAACTAGACTTACATCATTTTCAGCCCATTGACTTCAGTGGACTTAGAAAAGCATAACTCTGCGGACGACTTCAGCGTCAGTGTTCCGTCTTAATGCCTTCTTAAGAGAGCTAGATACGAGTCTTGGAGCACCTTAGAGACCAAGATTTCCAGGGAAGAAGAAGAGGAGGAGGAGAAGATTGGATTCCTACCCCGCCCTTCACTACCCAAAGGAGTCTCAGAGCGACTTACAAACCCCTTTCCCTTCCCGTCCCCATAACAGACACCCTGTGAGGTAGGTGGGGCTGAGAGAACTCTGACACAAACTGCTCTTTTTCAAGAACAGCTCTTATCAGAACTATGGCTTGCCCAAGGTCATCCAGCCAGGTGCGAGTGGAGGAGTGGGGAATCAAACCCGGTTCTCCCAGATTAGAGTCCGCGCTCCTACCCACTTCATCAAGCTGGCTTTTGAGAATCAAAGCTGCCTTCGTCAGAGACCTGATTTGTGCCCGATGAGGGGAACTTTGATTCTTGAAAACTTGTACCCCTAAACTCTTGTTGGTCTCTTAGGCGCTACTGGATTTGAATCTGTCTGTTCTACTGCAGACCAACACAGCTATCCTTTGAAACGATTTACGCGAAAGACGGGACATCATCACAGGCGTTTCCCCAGTCACGGAAAACCCACTCTGCATCCATCTGGCTAATATGCACTTTTGGACAAGTTCAGAGGCATCTCTTCTAGCCTGTGTTTGGCTTACCTCTGTATCTTATCTGTCTTTCACTGTTATGCTGCCTTTCCAGAGGGGACACTAGTCTCTCCTCCCCTCGCCTCCTTTAACCTCACAACAACAACCCTTTGAGGTAGGTTAGGCCAAGAGAGAATGACTGGTCTAGTCACTCAGTGAGTTCCACAGTGGAGTGGGGATTTGAACCCAGTTCAACCCCATCCTAGGCGTATAAGTCTAACCCCTGTACCATGCTGGCTTTATGTCTTACGACATCGTTGGCTCAGATTTTTAAAACTGAAGTTCCTGCTCTCTTAACCCTTTACTGACTCGGCTGCCGCTTAAACAGATTTGTAAGGCTTTTTGTGTCATTCTATTGTGTGACTTGCTGGCTGCTGTTTTAAGGGGCTTAGTAGTCTGGCATAAAGTAGCCATTTAATTGGTTTCTTTAAAAAAAAATGTTATGACGACGGCGTCACTAGCCGCCTTGAACTGTGAACCAGTACAGCATATGGGTCAGAAATCTGTCAGATAAATATCTTTTCCTGCCCTGATTCCTTCGGATAGAGCAGGTTATCAGCATCCACTTAAATAACCAAACCAAAACCTTGGAAAGTGTGTGATGCAACTTTTTTTTTTTTTTTTTAAAACACACACACAACAAAACCGGTGTGTGTGTGTGTGTGTGTCTTTCCTAGGGTTGCCAACCCCCAGGTGGCACCTGGAGATCTCCTGCATTACAACTGATCTCTGGAAGACCGAGATCAGTTCCCCTGAAGAAAATGGCTGCTTTGGAGGGTGGAGTCTGTGGCCATCATACCCTGATGAGGCCCCTCCCCTCCCCAAACCCCACCCTCCCCAAGCTCCACCCCGAAAACCTCCAGGTATTTCCCAACCCTAAGCTGGTGACCCTAGTCTTTCCCCACCCGTTAGAGGATCTCCTGCATTGGCAAAGACGGATCAGGTAATAACAGCATAGTCCTGGGGTCCCTTAGCACCGGATGGCTTTTTGCTGTACATCAGAAGTGTTTTGCGTGTGCCTTGAACATGTCACATGTACACATGTGCGTGAACCCTGACCACGGAGCCAGGACCGGCTGCAGTTCCATCTGGCATGCGCAACCAGAGGGCTCAGCTACACATTACCGTTTCCCACCACATTTATTTTGATTCTTTTTCTTTTCTTTTACAGATTTAACCACTAAGATCACTTTGTCAAGGGGAAGAGGAGCATGGAGGAAGAGAGGGAGAGAAAGAGATGGAAACCTTAACTCTCCCCCCCCCCGCCCTTTCCTCACTAGAAAGAAGAGTTGGTTCTTACATGCTGCTTTTCTTTACCCTAAGAAGTCTCAAAGTGGCTCACAATCGCCTCTCCCTTCCTCTCCCCACAACAGGCACCTTGTGAGGTAGGTGGGGCTGAGAGAGTTCTGAGAGAACTGCTCTTGAGAGAACAGCTCTGAGAGAACTGTGACTGACCCAAGGTCACCCAGCTGGCTTCATGTGGAGGAGGAGAAGGAGGAGTGGGGAATCAAACCCGGTTCTCCCAGATTAGAGTCCGCTGCTCTTAACCACTACACCACACTGGGGTAGTGTTGCTCCCCCCCCCCCCCGATTTTACTCCTTCTGTGGAAAACATACTAGTACAACAATTAATTAAAGGGCTAGGGTTAAAATTTCCCTCTCCTTTTGTCTTGAGAAAGCAATCTGAGAGGCTGTTTTGGAAAAGTTAAAAAAAAACATTTAAATGTTGTAGATGAGCCCACATTAGCCAACCTCGGTTTGATGCTCCTAACGTGTGAAACAGCCCTCTATAGAGCCTCCGTGTGAATGTATTGGGAAGTACAGCAAATGCCGTTTTCAGTTCTCTCACGAATCCTGTACTTCTGTGCCCTGAGGTATCATGCATGCTTTGCCCTTGTTAGTTTCTTCCTGCCTTCGCCACACCCCTCCGACCCTCTCCGAGGTCATCTCTGTTGCTGCATCCCTCAGAAGCCCCCTGCACTCTCCCATTCCCCCCCCCATCTCTCACTCGTTCCTTAACAGTCGGATCCCAGAGATGCAACTGAGCCAGGAGCGGCAGGATTCCGGCTTCTCCAAACAGCAGGGACAGTTGACCTGACCAGATTTCCTTCCTGTATTTCTCAAGCGCATCTCCCCGTCTGACGGGCAGTTTCCCCTCCTTTCCCATCATTAACCAACTCCCAGCATCCTCTGCTCCATCGGAAGATAACCCCATCTCTCAGTTGGCAATCCGGAACAGGGAAGGCATTTCAGGAGATCCAAACTGATTTCAACGTGAAGCTCCAACAAGGAACCCAAACGAAAAAACATCCCGCGTGGCTTCCAAGAGATCAGGGCAGGCCAGGGGAAGCCAGAAACAGAGAAATAAGAGTTGCTTGTGACCCCTTTCCCCTGCCCCACCTAAATCCAAGGAGAGTTCCTGTACATGTGTGTGGAGGTCAGTTCCTGTCCAGGTCCCGGCAGGGCAGCAGGGCGTGTGTCAAAACTTCACATAATGGTACATCGGTTCCTTCGCAGGGCCCCCTGGAAGCGGATGGTGGTGTGGACATGCTTGCAACGGGCACAGCCCACGCTCTTGAGGAGTTCACTGAAGAGCAGGAGGATGTGCCAGTTGTACTTGGCTGAGCACTCGATGTAGCCGCATTTCCAGGTCTTCTTCACCAGGTTGGAGACGTTCCAGCGCGGGATGACCCGGCCTTTCTGAAGGTCCCGCTTGTTCCCCACGATAATGATGGGCGTGTCAGAGGTGCCGATGACCCTGCCGAGAAAGACGGAGGAGGTCAAGGGGTGGTATAGTAGGACTGCCAAATTCTGGGTTGGGAAGTTCCTGGAGATTTGGGAGCAGAGCCTGGGGAAGGCACGGCAGGGCTTGGGGAGGGACCTCAGCGGGGTATAGTGCCACAGCTGTTTTCTCCAGGGGAGCTGTCTGGAGATCGGTCACGAGATCCTGTCTCTGTTGTCGGGAGAGCAGTTGTGATTCTGGGAGGTCTCCAGGCCCCACCTAGAGGTTGGCAAACCTAGGTGGTAGAGGGAGGGGGACCGAGGGAGGAACTAGGTCAATGAGAGTTACCCTCAGGGCTATTCTTGGGCAGGAACTCACAGGAACGGAGTTCCGGCTGGTTCCAGAGTTGGCCACGCCCACTACAGCCAAAACCTCTTCATGCGTAGCTACAGAGGGAAGACCCCCCCCCCCGGCGACTACGAGGCGGGCGGGCCAGGGGGGCGCCTGGGCAAGCCAGGGGAAGGCATGGGGGTGTGGCCTATTACGCTACCGAGTTCCTGCTGGGCTTTTTCTACAAAAGAAGCCCTGATTACCCTCATTCTGCTACCAAGGCTAATGTGCTAGCAACCCTCAGAATATCAGCCATGATAGCCGGACACAACTTCCATGCTGGGAAAAGTGGCCACATCTGGGTGGGAAAGCTCCTAAACACACAGGAAGCGACCTTATATGGATTCAGACCCTTGGTCTATTGACTGCTCAGCATTGCCTACTCTGACTGGCAGCCATTCTCCAGGAGAGATCTTTCTTATCACCTGCTACCTGATCATATTTAACCGGAGACACTGTGGGTTGAACCTGGGACCTTGTGGCTGGAAATCAGATGTTCCACCATTGAGCCAAAGCTCCTTCTCCAAACTATGAGTACATGAAACTACTGAGTCTGACCACCGGCCTATTAAAGTCAGTCTTATTTACTCTAACCGGCAGTAGTTCTGTGGGGTCTTTGGGGGAATTCTTTCATATTACCTATCACCTGATCCTTTTAACTGGAGATGCCTGGGACTGAACCTGGGACCTTTTGTGCCCCAAGCAGATGTTCGATGACTCAGCCATGGCCCTTGCTTTACATGTTATTTACCAGATGGTGACGTTATTGACCTCTGTGCCATGAAAAGCTTCAGTGGGCTGGCTGGGGAAGCCCATCCCCCAACAGCCAGGGCCAGGTAATGACATCACACGATGACATCATGCCGGGGACATCGTGTAACGACACTCTGGTATTTTGGGCAAAACTCATAGAGCTTTGCCCCAAATACCAGATGTTGTCGTGCAATGACCCCGGAGTGATGACATCACTTCCACGTGACATCGTCACATCAGGGATGTTACATGTGGCGATGTCGCCCTGCTCCCCCACTCCCAGGAAGCTCCCCCCCCCCCTGCTGGCAGAAGAAAAGGACCTGGCAACCCTAGTGGGCATCACAGTGTGGCTGCCAAGTGTCTCTAGAAAATGGGCGGGGCCAAGTGGGCCTGCTGGCCAGCGAAGATTCTGATTTGAATGGATGTGCCGATTTTTAAGAACACTGCTTTGGCAGCAGCTGCCACCACAGCACAAGGACCTTTGCTGTGGCAGCCAGTTTGTGGCTGGCTCCGCCTCCTGCAGCAGCTTTCTTGTGCCAGCCCTTTTGTGGCTGCACCCACCACACTGTGCCAGAAGTCCAAAGGTGCCCACAGGGTTAAAAAAAATGTTGGGGATACCTGAGCTAGACTCTTCTTATATTTGGGATTACACCCAGGGCTATTTTTGGGCAGGAACGGGCAGGAACGCACAGGAACGGAGTTCCGGCTGGCTCCCGAGTTGGCCACGCCCGGCAGGAACTCATTAGCATAATAGGCCACACCCAACAGCAGAAAGTCATTAGGATTGGCTACATTAGGGGTGTGTGGCCTAACATGCAAAGGAGTTCCTGCTACCAAAAAAGTCCTGGGTTTTGACAACAGACAAGGTAAACAGAATAAGAAGATAAAGGTGGGTGTGGCTGGATGACCAGACCTGATAACATGGGGGTGCGGCCTAATGTGCTAAGGAGCTGTGCTGTCAGGGGGTGTGGCCTAATAGGCTAATGGGTTTCTGCTGTTGGGTGTGGCCTATTATGCTAATGAGTTCCTGCTGGGCTTTTTCTACAAAAAGAGCCCTGGGACCCACCATGTACAGATGCAGTCTACTGCAGAGAACCAAATTCTGGGGCACAAGCCAGGGGAGAGAGGGCTGTTGTCTTCAGACCCTGCTTGTGCACTATCTGGAACCATCTAGGTGACCATTCACAGGGAAAGGATGCTGAATGAGAGGGACATTTGTTCTGACCCAGCAAGGCTTTCCACCTGTTATTAACCTATCCAGGAACAAAGTACCTATGAATGGCCCAGGGTGTACATCCAGGAGCTCTGACAATAAATATCTGCACCCCTCCCTCGTTCCCTTTCTCCAGTCGGGCCCAGGACAGGACGAGGGATTTTTTTTTTTACCTCGTTTCTAGGATCTGCTGCCTAATGGTTTTGACATACTCAAAGCTGTCAAAACAACAGATGTCATAGACCAAGATGTAGGCATGAACACTCCGAAGGCCTCGGCAGCACACGTCCGCCCACTCCTGCAAGACAGACAGAAAGAGGGACGGATCAGGGAACACGCCGATCACAGCTCCCCATGGTGTCACCCCGCCCACCCACCGCGAGCTCGGTCCGAGGAGAGATTGCACTCCCGTTCAGCAAGGCATTCAGTGCCCAGAAGGCAAAGAGGCACCCCTGCCTCTTCTAGAGGTGGTGGGATTTATTGTCCACCAAATTTAGAACACACTGTGATTTGTGCAGAGGGAGGTCCCTCCCTTCCCCCATATTTTTGCCGTCCAGTCACAGATGACTTATGGCAACCCTGTGTGGTTTTCAAGGCAAGAGATGTCCAGAGGTGCCTGCCTCCATGTCACCACCAATGCTCCCCTAAGCTGTGGAGTCTTGTGAGCAAACATCCTACTTTGTGAGCTACTGGCATTCAAGTTGTGAGCGAGCGATTTGGCTGCTGCATAAATTAGTTTGCTCTGGAGCCCTCTTGCCTGAGCTAAGACAAAAATCTGTGGAGGCTAAAGAACTGTGAGCTAGCACATACTAACTCAGCTTAGAGGGAACACTGGTCACAACCCTGGTATTCCTTGGGGGTCACTCTTCCAAATACTATCCAGGACAGTGCATTCCCTCCCCTAAGGCATCTCAGATCAGTGGAGACAAGGTCAAGGAATTGCCCCGTCCTACAGGAGCTCCCCAAGACTCCGAAATCCTGCCTTGCGGTTATTCAACCCACTCCACATACAGTATCTCGGGTCAGTCATTACAACAACCCTGCAAGGCAGGTCAGGATTACCATCACACTGGAGTGCAAAGGCAGGGCTCAGAAAGAAAGAGAATAAGGTCCCCAAGTCCACTTAGTTATTTCTCAGAATTATTTTCAACCCACACTCTCAACCACGAGAAAAATAATATTTAAAAACAGTTATTGAAATAATGTTTAAAACTCCAAGACAAATAATAAATCTGTGACTGAAACCACAACAGCAGTAAGAAAAGCAGGGTATAAAAGTATCAGACAAAGGCAGAGACAGAAGTGAGACTGAGGACTGACGGCTCAGTCTCTTAGGTATGAGGCTACACGAAGTCTCTGACTTCCATTTATTTTTAAAAGGACAGCTTTATGGTCCCGCTGACAGACTGCCCGTCTTAACCCTGGTTTCCAAAGTGCGCTGCAACCCAAAATATCTTCAATAACAACACAATTTTAAAAAACAAGGAAACTTCAGTAGAACAGACTTAGCAACGGCTGGATAAACTCCAGATTTTAAAAGGGCCTGGCAGGATTTAGAATCTCTGAAAGGAGTGGAATGCTAGGAGATCACAAAATGCAGTGAAGACCACCCAGATGGCTCTCAAAGGGGGGTTAAGATGGATTCTTGGAAGACGGGTCTATCATAGGAGGGTTGCCAACTCCCAATTGGGAGATACCTGGAGATTTTTGGGGTGGAGCCTGAGGAGGGAGGGGTTTGGGGAGGGGAGGGACTTCAGTGGGGTAGAATGCCAGAGTCCACCTTCCAAAGTGGCCATTTTTCCCCAGGTGAACTGATACCTAACACCTGGAAAGAAGCTGTAAGAGTTGGAGATCTCCAGTCACCAGCTGGAGGTTGGCAACTCTATCGGGGTAGAGGCTAAGAAGGGCAGGGCTTGGAGCAGAGACGGACCTCAGTGGGGCATTACGCCACCGAGTCCAGCTTCCAAAGGAGCCATTTTCTCCAGGGGTCCTAATCAATGCTCCCTCTAAGCTGTGGAGTCCTGTGGGCAACAATTCTACTTTGTGAGCTGCTGGCATTAAAGTTGTGAGTGAGCGATTGGGCTGCCGCATCAATTAGTTTGCTCCGGAGCCATCCCTCCTGAGCGAAGACAGAAATGTGTGAGCCGGAGGCTAAAAAACTGTGAGCTGGCTCACACTCACTCAGCTTAGAGGGAACACTGGCTCCTGATGTCTGTTGCCTGGAGATCCGTTGTAATCCCAGGAGATCTCCAGCTCCCACCTGGAGGCTGGCAATTCTAAGCACAAGGGATAAACGGAACCTCCCTGTTCAGGGGCAGTATACCTCTGATTGCCAGTTTCAGGTGGGTAGCAATAGGAGGCAGCTTCAGCCTCTGTGTGCTGCACTTGGCAACCTCCTCGGGGCATCTGGCTAGTAGCCACTATGGAAGCAGGAGGCCTGCCTACCTCGTTCTTCGGTCTAATTCAGTGGGTCTCTTCTGCTGTTCTTGTAGGGATGCCAGCCTCCAGGTGGGGCCTGGGGATCCCCCGGAACGACAGCTCACCTCCCAACTACAGAGATCAGTTCCCCCTGGAGAAAATGGCTGCTTTGGAGGGTGGACTCTATGGCATGGTACCCCACTGATGCCCCTGTCCTCCCCGGGCTCCACCCCCAAATCTCCCGGTGTTTCCCAGCCGGGACCTGGCAACCCTACCCACCCATCCCCCCCGCCGGTGGCCAGAGGGTTGCGATGGCCTCGGTGGCCTCAGAGAAGCCCAGGCCTCTCCACATTCTTGATTGCTCACTCAGTGGGAAAAGCAGCGCTGAGCTGTGACAGTCCCTGGCGCTTCCATGTTAAAAGCTTCATTTCATTTTTAATTTTCAGAAGGAACATTTGGTGAACAGCTGGGGTTTCCCAACGCAGAACAATCTGGATTCCATGTGTCTTGCAGAGGTGGAAGCCCCCCCCTTCTGGTTTTGTCTCCTTTAGCTTCACAGCTGCTTCCACTCATCCTTTCAATGAGACGTTAAAGCAAACTTCCCACATAGCCCAGCCTGGCCCATTGTCAAGGGTTCCATCGAGGCTCAGCTTGGCCCAAGTCGCCCGTAGTCTTCTCCTGCCCCCTTCTATGCGCCTTCTCTGCCCCTTGTGTGATGTCACAGAAGCTAAGCCAATGGCTGCAAGACAGGCTGAGGTGCCTCCCCTGCTTGCCATTGTGACATCAGAACAAGCCAGCCAATCACTGTCAAACAAGGCTAACTTCATGATGCTGTTCGTATCTTATAGTGAGTAAGCGGTGATTTGCAGGTGCTTGTCCAAAAAGGAAGAATCCGTGCTGTCACAACCCCCGCCCTCACAACAGGGCCTCTCTGCCCGCACCTTTGCCTCGGGCTGTCTTAGAGACACGGGCTATATATCACTCCCTTGGGGTCAGTTTAACCAGCTAAATTTTTTTTCAAGTATCAGACTAATAAAAACCTATCAAATATTAATACACATGATGGGTCAACACTTTCCAACTAAGGACCAAACGCGTTTCGGCCTCAAAGGGCCTTCCTCAGTGGTCACTATACAACATTTTATAGACACACATTCAAACAAATGTATACAGGTTCTTTAGTATACTTATTTTGAGACCAGATGTTGTATCCTTATATGTTTGCAATTGTGTTGCTGGTATAAATGATGGGCCGCAGGTATGGCCATATTCATTCCAATTATTCTGGTACTGAGATTTCAAAAGTCTGAATGTGTGTCATTCCATCAAGGTAAGGATTCCACCGAGATCTCCCTCCCCAACCCCTGCCCTCCCGAGGCGCCCCCCCGGCCTCTCCAGGATCTCCCCAACCCAGAGATGGCAACCCAATCGGCATTTCACTGGGCTCTTTTATTAACGCTCGCAATGCTTTCCTCACCTCAGACTGTTCCCCCGAGAAGGGAAGCAGCAAAGCTTGATTGATAAGTGTTCATTTCCTTCATTATTATTTTTTAAAACGAGGGGACTTTGATCTAACCAGATAGTCAGCTCCAAGATGAGACGGACTGTACGGAAAGAGCCAGCCATGAACATATGTCTGCTGTATTAATGAGGAGTTCATTTTGAAGTGTTAACATTTGATTGCTTTTGGCAAAAGAGGGAGAGCCGGAACGCCTGCCAAACGGCCCTTCGTTGCCGGTGACAAAGCGGGAAGAGATGGAAGCTCGCGAGCGAATTTCAATAATGTAAAATTTATACCCACTTAGATGAGTTTAAACTGCCTTCACTGACCCCGAGGGAAGCCTTGCTACAGATATAATCGCTTTCTGGTGGCAGTCATCCCAGGTTGAAAAACCTGGATTGCAGAATGCAAAATTCAGTTGCAGAACTCACTGCTCCGGATGTAGGGATGGCCCCTAGCTGGGATGGCTTTCAAGGGGGATCCAGGTTGGCAGCTGTGTTGGCCTCAAGCAGCAGAACAACGTTTGAGTCCAGCGGCACCTTTGAGACCAACAAAGTTTTATCCAAGGCATGAGCTTCCGTGTGCACGCACACTTCCTCAGACACAACGAAACGGAAGGGAGCAGTTCAAACTTAAAGACAGAGGCTGAGCAGAAAATTAGCATGGAACATGATGAAGATGCTTTAAGATATGCGAATTCAAACAGTTTTAAGAATATATAAGGGTTTGTTGAACTTCAACAAAGATTTAAAACTTTTTTGAATTGTTTTGTACAATATAATCTTTTTGCTTTTGTTCGTCATTCATTCATGGAGTGTCTTTAAAAAGGTGAAGGTTCCCTTGCTCAACAGCCAGTCGAATCCGACTCTAGGGTTGCGGTGCCAGCACTGTCCGAAGACGTTTCTGTGGTCATGTGGCCGGCATGGCTAAACACCAAGGCGCATGGAATGCTGTTACCTTCCCACCAAAGTGGTACCTATTTATCTACTTGCAATTTCTTGCTTTCGAACTGCTAGGTTGGCAGGAGCTGGAACTAGAGACGGGAGTTCACGCCGTCATGCGGCACACTCGGGTCTCGAACTGCTGAACTACTGACCTTCCACAGCCCGCAGTTCAGTGTCTTAACCACTTGAGCCACCGCAGCTCCTTTATATATTGATACAATCTCCCGTGAGCTCTCATTTTGATATACCACCTGGAGGTTGGCAACCCGATGTACAGCAATTGATGGAAGGAGAAGACTGTAGTCTTCATGCCTTTCCTGTGAACTTCCTAGGGCCCCCCTCCAGTAGTAAACAGTATACCAGCAATTGCTTAGAGCCGGAGAATCAGATTGCATTACATAACACCAAAAAAACTACAATCCCCAGAATTCTTTG